CCTGGAACCAGGTCTATGCTGAACTCCAGCTCCCTCACAAGAGGTAGTTCTGGCACCTCATCAGGAAATACTTTAGTAAAGTCTCTCACCACCTCAATATCAGCTAAGACCCTCTCGGTTTCTACACTCAAAGCAGCAATCAGGAGACAACACTCTGCTCCATCTCTCAGCAATGACTCAGCTTGGCCAGCTGAGATCAACAGCTCATCCTCCTTCTGAGGAAAGATCAACCGTCTATTGGCACAATCTATTAGAATGCGATTGGCAGAAAACCAATCCATTCCCAAGATTATGTCAATATCCACTAATGGTAAACAAATCAGGTTCACCTTATACTTTTTCTCATTCACCACAACCGGGCAACCCACACACAACTCAGAAGCAATCACAGAAGCAGAAGCGAGCGTCGACACAAGTAGTCTCAACCCCAAGTCACACACAAGCACACCCAAAATAGCAACACATGCATAAGATATAAAGGAATGCGTAGCACCCGAGTCAAAGAGAATCATCACATCCTTACCAGCAGCTATGCCCTTCCGGTTCACAAGATCAGAAGAAGTCGAAGCTTCAGCACCCGTCAGAGCAAACACCATACCAGCTGCAGTGGGTCTGTCACCCCTCTGAGTCTCAGTCCTCTGCACACCACTCCTTTGAGTATCAGCTCTCTGCACACCACTCCTCTGAATATCATCTCTCTGCGCATCTCTCCTCGGTGTACTCTCCTCCGATCTACTCCCGGTGGGACAGTTGAATGACAAGTGGCCCATCTGCTGGCATCTGTAACATCTACTCTCCGTGTGTGGACAATCCCTGATCAAATGGGATCCACTACACCTGTAACACCTTAGAGTGGCACCTCCACCCTGTCTACCTCCACTAGCCGTACTGGAGGATTGCCTACTGACAGGACCCCCTTGCTGTGACTGGGGCCTATCATAGGGCTTCCTCTGACTTCCACCTCCCCTCTTGGACTCAGCTGATCTCTCGGTAGCTCTGACCACACGGTTACCCCCTTCTAACCTCTCCACAATCTTTGCCTTCTTTACCAAGGCAGGAAACTCGGTGATGGCCATAGGCACCACCACCTTCTTCAATTCATACTTTAATCCCTCAGCAAATTTTTTGCACTTCCAGGCTTCTGAAATAGTCTGTGAGTAAAAACGAGCCAAGTGCTCGAACCTCATCGCATACTCCGATACAGTCAACCCACCCTGGTGTAACCGCAGGAACTCAGCCTCCTTGGCGTGCCTTATACTCTCCGGAAAGTACTTCTCCATGAATACCGTCCTGAAACACTCCCAGTCAACTACAACTCCTCTAGAAGTAAGCATCTGATAGGCGCTTCCCCACCAATGCTCGGCCTCTCCCACAAGCATATATACAGCATATGCTAACCTCCTCTCTGGAGGACATCCCATCTTCTCCAACTCACGGATCCAGCGGTCAGCTACCTCTGGATCCGCATCTCCTGCAAATTGTGGAGGATTACACTTCCGGAACTCAGCAAGATCCCGGCTTTCCTGTGACCCTGTAGTTTTGCTGCACCAGCTGCAACTCTCTCAGCTTCCATCCTAG